CCAGTGCTGCAAACCAAATGGAAACAGTGTTGCCCTAAACAAAATTACTGTTTTTTGTTGGTTATCTAACCTAAAAATTTAACACAGGAGCAGACTTCGCATACAAAATACTAGTGTTCGCGATAGTGGGAAAAAATCAATATCGATAGTTTCGATGTTGATAGTTTCAAATATCGAAACTATCGATAGTTTATCGATAGTCTTTTATATACCTATTTAGGGATGCACCGGAATTCCGGCGGTACCACTAAATCCGGCCGGTTGGCCGGAACTACCGTTCCGGCCGGATCGCTCCGGCCGGATCGGTATTTTCTTTTACCAAAAAATTAATCTATTCTCTGGAACTTTAAATAGAGACACTTTTTCTAAACAACTTTTTTACCCACCATTACACGTAGGCATTAAAATACGTTTTGTCCAAAAATAATTGAATTCAGTATTATAGGGTGTTTTAGGTTTGTTTATGTAACTATAGAAATATTATTAAAAATATATGCAAGTTGTAGTTTTTGACACAAATAAAAGTTTCAATAAAAAATCTTAACCCTAGAATACTGTTGCTATTTTATGTCACGTAATACTGTTGATACGTAAAATTTACGTACGTAACAAAATTTAAGTTAAATTATGAAAGTATTTTAATAATATTTCATTAAAAGGCAAAAAAGTAAAATAAACCTTTTATTAGATAGATAGATAGATAGATAAATAATAATATAGTTTTAAGTTAAGCACTTGGGGCACATTTTATTTGCGTGTTCGCCACAAATTGGTTTTATACACTTTATGCAGTACGTTGTGGTCATTCTTTTTTTTGCTGATGGGCATATATGGCAATATTTTTTGGGCCTTTTTGATTTTTCACTCTTTCCTGTGCTTGACCTTCTTCCCTCTCATTTTCTGTTCCCAACACACGTAAATTTTACGTGCTGACTTTAATATTAGCGGTTGATACGATCATATACGCACGCCAAATCAAACTAATTCCCTTTTGAGATGATGCATAAACTTAACAGATAGCACTGCTGGCCGCTGGAATGGAAGGCACAATCGGTTTCGATTTGGCGGGGGAGTGTTTTTAATTTTACGTAATTTTTACGTACAACAGTATTCTAGGGTTAAGTTGGGTTATGTTTTTTCAAATAAAGGTGTCCCGTAAATATGAACTAACCGAGAAAACCAGGAATTTATTTCAGTAACCAGACCGGTAACTCGTGTGTATTTACGGAACATATCCTAAGTCAGATGGAGGGTTAATAACTGCATTACATCAGGCTGGACTTGTAAAAGCCCAGTTACGCTGTAAGGTGAGGAACTGTAGGAGAATTTGCATTTTAAGACCCAGAGCTGGAGTATATGTCCTGGACCACGCCTTTTTCTGTATAAGATGCAAAAAGGATTACCTACAGTGTCCTCACGGGTAATCCACATTATGTGGTATTGGGCTTGCGAGGTCAGGACTGGCCCTGTCGCCCAAATTATGGGTACTCGTCGTGGGCGGATTGCTCAAACCTATCGGTTGTCCGAGTCACACTATCAGAATCGACCAATAAGAACGAGTTATCACGCGTCTGGGAGTTTTTGTTTGACCAAGCCCGCCTCGCTTCGCTCGGCATTTATTAAATTTAATTACGTTTACAAAGAGCCTAGGCGGGCTTGGTCAATGGCTGAGCCCAATTTCGCGCGCCGAAAATTGGCCTCAGGCACTGACCAAGCCCGCCTCGTTTCACTCGGCATTTATTAAATTTAATTACGTTTACAAAGAGCCTAGGCGAAGGCCAAGCCCGCCTCGCTTCGCTCGGCATTTATTAAATTTAATTACGTTTACAAAGAGCCTAGGCGGGCTTGGTCAGTGCCTGAGCCCAATTTTGCGCGCGCGAAATTGGGCGCAGGCACAAACCAAGCCCGCCTCGCTTCGCTCGGCATTTATTAAATTTAATTACGTTTACAAAGAGCCTAGGCGGGCTTGGTCAGTGCCTGAGCCCAATTTTGCGCGCGCGAAATTGGGCGCAGGCACTGACCAAGCCCGCCTCGCTTCGCTCGGCATTTATTAAATTTAATTACGTTTACAAAGAGCCTAGGCGGGCTTGGTCAGTGCCTGAGCCCAATTTTGCGCGCGCGAAATTGGGCGCAGGCACAAACCAAGCCCGCCTTGCTTCGCTCGGCATTTATTAAATTTAATTACGTTTACAAAGAGCCTAGGCGGGCTTGGTCAGTGCCTGAGTCCAATTTTGCGCGCGCGAAATTTAATTTAATCAGGCACTGACCAAGCCCGCCTCGCTTCGCTCGGCATTTATTTAATTTAATTACGTTTACAAAGAGCCTAGGCGGGCTTGGTCAGTTCCTTAGCGCGCCAAATCGGACTCAGGCACTAAAGAAGTCCGCCTCGCTTCGCTCGGCATTTATTTAATATGATTACGTGTGCAGGTACTTTGTAAATACTGATTGACTTTACAAGTTGCCTAGGCGCATTTCATATGAGTTTTTGATATTTAATTGATTTTATTTTTAATAACAAATATCTTAGTATCAACAACTCACATGAAAAACTTTATTTGGCTTTTTGGTGTATCCTTACATATTAGACCTTAAAAAAAATTTAACATTTTTTAATTTTGCAAAATCTACAATTGTATTTTTTTGCGCACCCTGTATAACAAAATGGGATTTTCTCATCGAGAAGAAATTATGAACTGAATTTTCCTCGAAAAATTGAAAATAAATATTTTTACAAGTATAATTAAGTCCATCCATAGACACACTGTATATAAATATATATATTATATATAAGTCATTTAGAATTAAAACGGCCATTTCAATCACGCAGACGGCACAAATCACAAAACTGAAGGTAATTTATTAATGTATATTATTTTGGCATCAAATTTGTCAAAAAAAATAGTACATTCTGTAACAAGTTTGGAATACAGCATATTCCGCTCGAGGAAAAATTTGACACACGAGCCGAAGGCGAGTGTGACGGTTTTGGAATATGCTATTCCAAACGTGTTTCAGACATTAATTTCTCTACGACTACGTAAGAATAGTAACGCTTATAAGCTTATAAATATAATTTTAAACAGAGAAAAGAAACCAAGCAGTTTTTGACAGTTTTTTGTATTGTCAAACCATTTTGTGCCGTCACAATTTTATAATGTAAATTATAATAAATTTAAACAAATGGTATGCCTAAATCTTTATTGTAATTAAAAATAGTTATTTACACTAACTAATAAAAAAATAACATTGTAACAAATACAAAACTAATTTTCTCTACGACTACTTAAGAATAGTAACATTCTCAGGGCCGAATTAAGAGTTTTGAGGCCCTGGGGCCGACTTTTGGTGGGGGCCCTCAATATTTCTAAAAATGTTGACACTTGGGAAATTAAAACTCATGGTTAATTTTTAAGCTAAAGGAAGTTTACGTGATTTTTTTTTATCTTTGAATCATTTATTATTTAATAAACCCTATAAATTTTAATAAAATCGGCCAAACCGTTTTTAAGCTATAAATAAAAAACGAAACACCCTGTATCTCGATAATGAAGCATTTTCGGATACGTGTTTATAGGAACTTTTTTTCATATTTTAATGAGAGGAATTTCCCCTGAGCTTTTGTCACCACAAGTCTGAATCATCCTGTATATTTTGAATAATGCGAACATAACCTTATATACATTTTACCCAAGTCTGAGAAATTATAAATTCGTATGCTAAACTATAAAAACGTAGATAGTAGAATAGAATTGTGAATGAAAGTGTTTTTATATTTTATATATTTTGAATAATACGAACATACCCTTATATACATTTTACTCAAGTAAAATATAAATTGATCTATGTTTTATTTGTATTTTTAATACCGCAAAAAAGTGCATCAAAAGTCATATTATTTGTCTGTTTTTCATACAAAATCAAACAATAAAACAATCTTTTGTCCAAAGAAAAGCACGAAACAGTATTTCGGAAACACCGGAAAATATTCCACAACACTCCAATGTACCAATAAAATCTGGGACTAACTTTAATATTAGATTATAAGTAATTGACTGTTTGCCTAAAGTGACCATTCGTCATGGATTTTGCGGGACACTCCCAGATTTTATCAACATGTCCTGCAAGAGTAAACGTCCCGGAAATGTCCCGAATTTTGCGGTTAATCACTATAGTGACATATATGTCTTTTTACGAGAATAATTTCTTACACAAAATAACAAATTTGTAAAACTTATAATTATCACAAAATAAAAAAAAGTTTCGGATGCTCACAAGTAAAAAAATACTGAAGAAAAATTGCGTCAATTGACTAAAAAAGTTTCCATTGACAAAAGATGGGTTGAGATTTTTCAATATTGTCTCGTCCAAAATGTTCCCTTACATAATATTAAAAGAATTGTAGAATTATGCATGCCTACCAGCTGGTTCCTAGGAACTAATCCTCCCACCGAACGGGTATTTTCTGGAATAAATATAATGTGGACTTCATAGAAAACACTTCTGTTAGGGTTGCCAACTTTTATTTTGGGATTTTCTGGGCAAGGTGATTAAAAATTCTGGACACCGGTACAAAATTATGGACATATTTTATTTGAAATTTTTTTTACTTGGGAAAACACATAAATAATATACAGAACTCGCCATATAGATTAAACACTTAGTTCAATAGTTCAATGTAAATAAAAAAATACTTATTCTAGTAAAAAATCTTACTTTAAGACAACAAACATGAAATATATGTATTAAATGGGTAACTTTCAAACATAAACATATTGCTTTATAAATTAACAAATCTCTAGATAATAGAAAATAGGTACCTATAGGAAAAACTAATTTCTAATTTTTATTTTTAAAAGAATATTTTTTTCGGATTTGCAATCCAATAATATTTTTTTATTGTCCTTTATATACGAATAAAACTCTTTGCAGGTTTTGTCAAAATTAATTTTTATTTGGAGTTCAGCTTTAACATGCTCAAGCGTAAATTTATTTCGATCATCTCACCACAAAGCTGAACACATTGAAAAAACCCTTTCTGCGTTTGCGTTAAAACCAAAAAGCGAAAAAACAAATTGCACAATTTTAAGAATATATTTGAAGTTATTTTCTTTAAAAATTGAGTTCCATTTATCTAATATAGGTAAATTAGACGAATATGCCAACTCTAGCGCTGGTTTCATTTCACAAAATTCTTCGTATAATGCATCCAAATCAATTTGATCGCTTAGACCAGACTCTATAACAATACTCGATAAATCATTAAACTTTATTGGTTTACTTAGGGAAAAAAGATAAAATTTTGATAGCATATTATTTTCTGAGAAATCAAATTTTGATTCTAGATAGCTAAGGGCGTCTTGGTAAAATTTGAGGATGTAGCCTTTATATTCTGTTGACAAGCTCTTGCAAGATTTTTAATCGCATTTGAGCATATTAACCCTAAAAACTCATCTTCAATTCTCTGTTTAAGTTTAATTCGAAGTTGATTAAGAATTTGTGGAAAAAATCCTTCGAAAAAATTGAAAAATGTGCCAACGTGAAAATTATGAACATTTTATGTCCAGCCAAAGGTATTGACTGGACGCTGGACAAATGAGCCGAAAAGGTGGACGTCCACCCAAATTCTGGACAGTTGGCAACCCTAACTTCTGTCCGTGGAATCATTAAAATGTATGCATTTTGTAAAATATAATTTAGAGTATTCTTCTTGTAAAGAATTTTATAATTCTGTAAAAAATTATGACGGAAAATTTGTTTGAAAAGGAGTACCTAATTTTCAAATATATATTTTTATATATAAAATTATAAAATTCTGCATGATGGAATGATATGAATATTATATTATTTGAATGATGATTGATTTAAACGATTTTGTTTTCTCGACCTTTCCCTTCCATCGCCTTCGTATCGACAAAATGCGCCTGCCGCGGACTTTTCCGCTTTTGGCAGATTTTTTTTGACTTTGTCCCGGATTTTGACATTTTTGATGTGGTCACTTTATGTTTGCCTGTATTTACAAAAACGATACGACAAGCACTAAAGGATCCTTTAGTTGCTCGAGCAACTGCTTAAAATTGTTATGAGTCATAACTTACGACTATAGACTATATAAAAACGTCTTCGCGCGCCAAAACTTTGAGTGTGCTATGTTTTAGATTTTAAGTTTGTCTATATTTTGTATGTCAATAGTTTTTAAGTGTAAAAGTTGGCAGCCATGACATGAGCCAGTCTGACCAACCGTACAGACAGACAAGTCAGCATGGTAACTCGATTGTAAAACGCTTGTACAGATTGTTAATAAACTTGTTAAGAAACATCAGAGGCCTTTTTAATCCACTCGGAAACCAGAGACATAACAGTGGCGACGAAGAAAATCCAGTAAAGTAAGCAGCTTATCATTTTAACCCAAAGAAGGTTAGAAAATACACGTGGAACGAAAAAAAAAGCTGGTTGTTTGACAAGGTCTATGTATTAATAATGGCTTTAATCGGGGCAATTCAAAGCTTTAGTGCAAAAAAAGACAATTGGGTGCTCTACCAGGAACAGATGGAGCAGTTCTTTAGCGTCAATGACATATCGGAGGCAAACAAGAAGGTAGCGGCGTTGCTAAGTTTAATAGGTCCGGATACGTACAAAACTATTAGAGATTTATGTACACCAGAACTACCCAAAAACAAAACTTACGAGCAGCTATGTGAATTGTTAAAAAAGCATTTTTCACCAACAACCTGCATCTATCGAGAGAGAATTGAATTCTACGAGGCTCGACAAGAGGACTTGGAATCAATAAACAATTGGTATGCAAGGATACACAATTTATCTACAACATGCGAGTTTGGGGAAAATTTGCAAGCAGTTCTTAAGGACAAATTTGTTTGTGGCCTGAGAAAAGGCAAAATCCGGGACAGATTATGCGAAGAAAAAGGAACGACAGCACTATCAAAATTAGTGGAAATTGCTTTAGCGAAGGAGTTAAATTCAAAAGAAAACAATGAAGTTAACTTGGTAAGAAGGTTCAAGACGACAGAAAAGTTTCAAGACAACAATTTTACAAGAAAAGAGAAAGCTCAAGGTAAATGGAAATGCAAACATTGTGGAAGGACACACACAGGGAAGCAATCTTGTAAGTACAAAGACTATAAGTGCAATATTTGTAAAAAAATAGGACATTTAGCAGCAGTTTGTCAAAAAAGTAACAGTCACAATTTAGTCGAAGTTGTTGACAATGTTGATGAATTATGTATTAATAATATAGGTACTATTAACAATGATTCTTTAGACATAGAAATTTTTATTAACGAAATCAAAATTAAAATGCAAGTTGACAGTGGGTCAGGCATAAGCATTTTAACAAGTGATAGTTATAAAAAATATTTTTCAAATTGTATGCTAAACAAGTCAAATGTAGCTTTGAGATCATTTACCGGTTGTAAAATAGAAACTTTGGGATATTTTAAAGCAAGTTTAAAGTACAATGAAACTAAAATTGATAATTGTGTAATATATGTAGTAAAAAATGGTGTTCAAAATATTTTAGGAAGAGATTTTTTAAAGAAATTTAATTTTAGGATTGTGTGTGATATTAATGTTATAGATGACAGCTTAAATAATATTCTTAAAAATTACAGTGATTTGTTTGACAAAAAATTAGGTTGTTACAAATTTAAAATTTTTAATTTAACTTTAAAAAATGAGCAAAAACCAATATTTTGTAAACCCCGTACACTTCCTTTTACCCTTAAATCCAAGGTCGAAAATGAGCTACAAAGGTTACAGCAGGAGGGGGTAATAACACCGATTGAAAGCAGTGAATGGGGAACTCCTCTAGTGCCAGTTGCAAAGAACAATGGTAACATAAGACTTTGTGCAGACTATAAAATTACTATAAATAAATACTTAAATGGAATTACTTACCCTCTACCCAAAATTGAAGAGATATTTACTCAGCTAAATGGTGGAGAATCTTTCACAAAAATTGATTTAAGTAATGCTTATAACCAACTGCAGGTGGATGATGAGACAGCCAAAATTTTAGCATGGTCAACTCACAAGGGAATTTTTAAAGTAAATCGACTTCCATATGGTATCACGCCAGCCAGTGCGATATTTCAAAAAACGTTGGAGCAAACATTGCAAAATTTGGCAGGAGTGGCAAATTTTATAGACGATATAATAGTCACAGGAAAAACCAGAGCAGAACATGAAGATAATTTAAAAGCTTTATTAACAAGGTTAAGGGAAGCAGGTTTGAAAATAAAATTAGAAAAATGCGATTTTTTTCAACACGAAATAAATTATCTTGGTCACAAAATAACAAAGGATGGGCTCAGAAAAAATTTGGATAAAGTGGAGGCTATAATTAATGCACCAAAGCCTAAAAGTGTTACTCAAGTAAAAAGCTTTGCAGGGTTGGCAAATTATTATGCAAAATTTATACCAAATATGTCAGAAAAAATGAGACCAATCTATGATTTATTAAAAAAGGATACAAAATTCCATTGGAGTTCAATGTGTGATAAAGCATTTGAGGAAATAAAAAGAATAGTATCGTCGGATCAGGTATTAGTACACTTTAATCCGGAACTACCAATAATTTTATTTACGGATGCATCGCAAAATGGAATTGCAGGCGCATTATCGCATAAAATGCATAATGGGGACATAAGACCAATTGCATTCATATCCAGAACCTTGACTGCAGCTGAAACAAACTATTCAGTTATAGATCGAGAGGCCTTAGCTATCTATTGGTCGGTAAAGAAATTTTATCACTATTTAATGGGGCAGGAATTTTCTATTAGAACCGACCATAAGCCTTTAAAATATATTTATGGGGAGGATAAGGCAGTACCTTCTATGGCGGCGGCAAGATTGCAGAGATGGGCAATGTTTCTTTCAGGGTTTGCATACAAAATAGAGTACATAAAGGGATCTGAAAACAATGTGGCAGACATGCTCAGTCGACATCCATTGCAAGTAAATAGCATACAAGAAATAGAAGTAAATTTGACAATTTCAGAAGGATTGCCAATAGATGCTAGCAAAATTGCTTTAGAGACGAGAAAAGATTTAGTTCTAAGTAAAGTTTTCTATTATGTAATGAATGGATGGCCAGAGGAAAACAAAAACGAACAGTTAAAAGCGTATTTTAGTAGAAAGAATGAAATAACTACTGAGCAAAATTGCCTAATATGGGGATACAGAGTTATTGTACCTGCAAAATTCCAGAAAAAATTACTAGATGAACTACATTCCAGTCATTTAGGTATAGTTAAGATGAAAACCATTGCAAGAGGACATTTTTGGTGGCCAAATTTGGACGCAATTATAGAAAACGTAGCAAAATCGTGTCGATTTTGTGTTAAAACGTCCAGTGACCCGACCAAGTCAATTCCTACACCGTGGTACAGACCAACTAAACCTTGGCAACGAGTGCATATAGACTTTTTGGGGCCTATAAATAATAAACACTATTTCATCATGTTGGATGCCTATTCGAAGTGGCCCGAAATTTTCCAAATGAAGAACATAACTTCGGAGACGACAATAACAAGAGTTCGAGAAACATTTGCACGTTGGGGGATTCCAGAAACAATCGTTTCAGACAATGGGACACAGCTTGTTTCAAGAGAATTTAAAGAATTTTTGATGAAGAATGGAGTACGACACGTTCTGTCAACACCATATCATCCATCCACCAACGGTCAAGCCGAAAATGCTGTTAAATTTTATGCTGCCTTAGCAGACACTAGAAATAAAGATGCTAAGGAGGAGGTATTAATTTGCAGATATTTACTCAATTACAGAAATGCAAAGCATTGCACTACCGGAGAATCTCCAGCAAATTTAATGGTAGCAAGAAATTTAAGAACAATTTTTAATTTAATTAATCCCAATACAGACAAAAGAGTAAAGGACTGTCAAGAAAAACAGGAATTCTACTCAAAAGGAAAACTTTACGATAAACTAAAAGAGGGAGAAGAAGTATACGTAAGAGATTATAGAGACATAAACAAAAAAACTTGGAAAGAAGCTACAATTAAAGAAATTCTAGGACAAAAGACATATTTATGCAAACTGAAAAACGAAAATAAAGATTGGAGAAGGCACATTGACCAGATAAAAACAAAAATCAAACCCATCCATCCCGAAAACTTTCCAACCCAGCCTTATACCTGTTTCCCAAACCAACCAAAAACAATTTTAAATAATGATTTATCTGAACGGGATAACAATAATGTAAATGCTGAAAATCAAAATGTTGTAGTTAATGCTGAAAGACAGTTAAATGAAAGACCAAAGAGGCAAC